TATCCCTTCCTTTTTTATGTATTTAGTACAGGGTCTACAGGGTCTTACTACACAGATTAGACTTGTAGTCCTCCTCCTGTTTGCAGACTCCAAAATGCTGGGATTACAGGTGTGCGCCCCCAGGCCCAGTCTTAGTCACCATCTCAGTGTCCCCAGGGGTAACCAGCACTGCATGCCAGGAATCAAATCCCGGTCCCTGCATCTGCCTAAACAGCGTTAGTCCACTGAGCTGAGCTATCTGTCTGGGCCCTCCCCTTCCTCCTTTCTTTCTTTCTTTCCTTCTTTCCTCCTTTCCTCCTTCTCAGTTGTTCTTTCCTTTTGAGCAGCTTCTTTCCTTTTAATAATATCTATTGTATCTTTCAGATTTTATTTATTCTTGCAGTTTCTTACACTAGGGATATTTTTTTTCTTACTTAAATAATATTCTACTACTCAGAACACATTTTTTTATCCCTCTATGTTCATAAACATATTTTAAACTAGTTTTCTAAGCTTGAAAACAAAACTTCCAGAAAACTTATCTAACTTCACTTTTTCCCTTTGTTGAACTCTGACCCATATCAGCAAAGTATATACATTCAACAATAGGAGTCTATCTTCCTCCAAATTTTCATCCTTTGTTCTTGAAATCATCACCTACCATCCTGGACAAAAAGCAAGGAAATTCTACACCTTCATATACTCAAGAGAAGAACCAGGCACTTTTTGGTTTAACCTAAGACTCGGGGTTCCAGTTTCTGAGCCCCTGAAGAAAGTATTTAGCATCTTAGAAAACAGTTCAGTATCTTGAGCAGTTTAGATTAAAGGTCCCATAACTCTCTGTTTGTCTTGGCTACTTTTTTCTCATGGTTGAGGCAAAATACCTGACGCTAAGAAAAAAAAAAATGAAACCAGGTTAATTTGCAGAAAGTTGCCATAAATCCTGTCTGGCGTTCTGGTGCCAATGCTCCTGTTTAACATTCCTGCAGCCCTACTTTCTCACTAATTATTCAAAGACAGAAGTCAAGCCTATAACTCTATAGCATCACTGAAACTCCAGGCTCATGATTTTGGTTGGGTTTTGTTTTAAATTATATGGCTTGGAGACAGAGCTTCGGGGGGGGGGGGAATATATATATATATTTTTTTTTCTAATTCATAGAGAATGTTGCCCATTTTTCAAACTTTCTTTACTGAAGTAGGGCAGGGCACAGTGTGTCCCTTGAAGGTACTAACAGGGAACAGCATATGAGAAAATGCTCTTGTCCCCACAGGAGCAAGATGATGTGAGACTGACTGCCATCGTCTTATTTGAGAACCTGGCATCCCTAACAGGAAGGCAATGGAAGTCATTTTTTGCTGAAGAGATAAAAAAGAGCATGATTTCATTCCTTCTCCACCTCTGGGATCCCAATCCCAAGATTGGAATTGTAAGTGGCCACCAGAGACACCTGTACCTCCTGTTCATCCTGTTCATCCTGTTCATCCCAGGGTTAAAAGGTGACAGTAAGCCTGATCTAGCTGAAATAGAAGCCAGATCGGAACTCATACCTCAGAACTGAACATGAAAACTGTTTCCTCAGTTCAGGATTCTTTCTTGTCATCTCTTCCCAAGTTTGCGTTCCATCCTTGAAACTGAAAAAAAATTTCTTGCTGGAAATTATTGTAATGCTCTTTGTTTTATTTTTCATTCTTTTCTCATTTTACTGGGTTTATTTGTACTATGAATAATGTCAAAATAGTTACAGATCTTCCCACAAAATACTCATTGGTACAAAAATGTCCACTACGCATGGCCATGTTTCCATGAATGGAATGCTCTTCGAACCACTGACCATTGCTACTGTTTCCCCAGTACTACTGTTTCTTCCTTTCTGGAATGAGATTCCTGCCTTATAGACTATGACCCCGGAAACTGTTTCCTAGGCTTGTCGTGATGTCTTGATCATCTGCTTCCCTTTCCTGGGCCTTCAGGAGCTGTATGGTGTGCTAGACCACCTCCTTGATCAAGACCTACCAAGAGCAAGAGATTTTTATAGGCAATTTTGTATGAAACTGGTGAGTATACAGTAGATGCTACTCAAAAAAATACAGGATAAGAGTGTAAACCAATCAAGCAACATAGCAAAGAATCTCTGCCCAGCGCTGAGACTGTTTCACAAGGATCACAGTGTTAGAAGTATCCTCCCTCAGGACCCTCTTCTTTCTCCTAACATGAAGATCTGCTCTCCAAGGTTCCAGAAACTCAACTCTGTTAATTAGTTCTTAATCTCTAGTTCCTTCCTGAATAAATTGAAATTGAAATCGCCATAACTTTCAATCCATTAATCAATCCATAAATGGTTGCATGAATGTTCACTGGCCTTTAGCATTCCCACTTAAGGACTTATAAGATGATGAAAATAAAGGATCAATGTATTACACACATTTTCCATTACTAGCACACATTACCAGACACCCACAATTTAAAAGGGAGATTTAGTTTGGTTCACAGTTTCAGATGATTCAGTCCATGATGAGTTGGCTCCAAAAGCAGAAACACCATGGCAGAAGGCCAGAGTAGAACAAAAATGCTTAGTACAAAGCAGCCAGGTAGCAGATCAGGGGAACAGTGCCAAAAAGGAAGAAGAAAGAAGACAGACATAGCACCTAAGGTGACATCTCCATGCCAACCAGGGACACCCAGAAATGTGCCTCATTCCTCCCGTTGGTACTTCTTAAACCAAGCAAGTTGACACAATTAGTTCAAGCACCACAGTCACCTTCCAGTTGTCCCCCTTATAACATTCATCTCTTGTAGGCAAAGAAAAATCAGGAAATCCTGTGGATCCTCCATACGCACTCATTCACCTTTTTCACCAGCAGCTGGGAGATGATCAGGAGTGCAGCTGTGAAACTCACAGGTGAGCTCACACCCACATCACCGATTCAGAGATGTCTGTTTTTCCCATCTGGTTTTTATTTTCAAAAAGCTATGCAGGGCTTACCACTGGTATGATTGGTGTGACTCTCACCTGAAAATAAGAGCACTAAGAAAATGTGTTGTCTTTCAAGATGAGAGCCTATAACCTCATCTGACTCATCAGTACTTGCTTTCCTCCCATCAGTGTGCCCCCACTGAACTTTTCAGGCCCCTCCTGGTGCCAAGGCGTTGCTTTCCCACTTCCCTCATCTTTGCCCCAAGCCTATTAGCTTTTCATGCTTTCCTTCACCTCAATCCTTAATTGAAACCGTGCTTAACATTCCAACCTCACTGATAGTGTGAGCAGCAACATGACACAAATACAAAGCACGTGGATGTGAGGACCAGCAGATCTTGGCTCTGCCATGGGACTCTGGACAGAAAACTTTGCTGTGTTAACTCTCTGTCAAATTGCTAACATAAAGAAGAAATCAAATGACTCTTTGAAGACTTTCTACTATGAAATTCTAATATCCTAATATTCTAATAAATTCTTATATCCTGTTATCCCTTCTAAGTAACCCAGCCTAAATTAATAATCCCATTCTCTTGGACATATTTAAGACCAAATTGAAAGCTATGGATTCCTTTTCTTGTCTTTTCTATTTTTGTACCAAGAACTGAACTCAAGACTCTATGTTTGCCAGGCACACATGTATGCCACTGAGCTATAACCCCAGCCCCAAAACCTATGAATTTCTTACTGGATTATATGTATGATTGCCACAACTACATTATAAATTTCTTAAGTAGAAGAACATATTGATACAATTTTAAAGCCTGAAAATAGCTGCCTTGCCCCCCAAAACTCCCTTGTGTGAACTTTCTCATATACACTTGGGATGAGTGACCATTTCCAGATCCAGGGTTCCAAATCTGGTGAGGATTCTCCTAACATAAACCTAGGGAAGTAATGCAGAGGGAGTTACAGAATCTGCTCGGTAGCCACACTGTCTACCTTCTGATCAGGTAAAGAGTCATACAGGATCCACTTTTTCTCCGTTGCATTTAGATTCCATTGTCGTCAATCTGACCAGCCAATATATGGAGCTATTAGACAGAGAACAACTAACCACACGTGAGTGCCAACCCCAGTTTCTGCCCAGCATACTAGGCCAGGTTCCCTTCTGCAAAAAAAGCCCTATCTGAAATTCCCCCAGATCTTACGGTTTCCTTTCCCTATTCAGCCTACCACAATATTGCATGTCTATCAGGGCATGTGTAGGATGTGTGTACTAACATTCTTCATAATATCTGCATAGTAGTCCTTTTTATCGACATGTTGAAGTAAACAGCTGTATATATAAAATAAGGTGTATAAAAAGAAGTTTCCAATGTGCCAGTTGGTACTAATTCAACATTAACATCATAATCATTTATTAGCACACTGTTATATATTAGAGAAACAGGAGCTCTTATAGCTCCAAATTCTGTATGAATCCAGAAACAGAAAATCTTTTATAAAATATGTTCATCAGTACTTATTAATTGTATAAAATATTGAGTTGTGATGGGTCTTTATATGTACACAGAGCATATTTTAAGCAGATCCATTCCTAGAAAATCTTAGTATACAATTGTTGTTGCTGAGGCTTTCTAGACCTTAAAATTTCTATACAATTTAAAGCAACCTCCCACTACAAACCTTTGTGTCATTGCCATCAGACTATGATTTTCTAATTGTCTAAGTTTACTGATCACAAGCCCAGGACCTCCTCCCACCTCCCTCTCCACTCTCTTACCCACCCCCATTGTAAGTTGAACCCAGGGCCTCCCTCACACTAAGCCCAGACTTTTACCACTGAGCTATACCTCCAGCCAGTCTTCCCCTTTTTCAATGTAAAGAGAGTTTCTCAGCTTGTAGCTCCAAATTCTCCCATTCAGCACAAATTGTGAGCTTTAGGAGTCTGAGTCCCACATGGTCTGACTCTCAATGATAGCTTTATGGTGCCTCACAAATCAGGCACTGGCACAGGGTATCCTTCTTGCTGGGGTCTACCCTCTTCATTCACTGATCCCAGATTTCTTTCCATTTCAGGGCTCCAAGCACTTCTGCTGGATCCCTGCATCAGTGTCCAAAGAGCAGCTGAAGCTGCCTTGCAGACCCTCCTGAGAAGATGTAAAGAGACAAGTATCCTTCTGTAACCATCAAGAAATAAACTGCTAGGCTTTTTCTAAAACTGACTCCAGTAATCGTAGTATTTTAACTCATAAATCTGTACAATAAAAAAGATGGTGGCTAGGATGGGAATCTTGGGTAAGAATGTCTTCATCCTCTACAATCTCCTTAGTGGCTTCCACTAGTTAAAAAAATGAATCTCATAAATTCATCGCAGAAAAAAACTATGGTTCTGAGTGGTGACAAGCACATGGCTTTGCACTGGTTAGTACCCTATCTCAAGGTACCTAACTCCCAGCATGCATCAGTCAGAGGTTGACACAGTGACCCCACAGTAAGAAAAGAGATAGTGCTATTTCCATATAGAACACTTTCCTCTCATGCCCTTGTCAGCTTTGAATTATCACACACACTCTTTCTAAAATAGTCTTACAATAAACTGTAACCTATCTATTTTCCCCTGGGTTGTAATTTATGCATCAGCACTATGCCAGGTTCTTTTCTGAAAAAAAAAAAAAAACAACCCTGTCTGAAATTCCACCAGCTCTTATTGTTTCTTTTCCATCTTCAACCTACTGCAATATTGCATGTCTATTACTGCATGTTTAGGGTCCTTTACTCTTTGTCATCATGTTTAAGTAAACAGTTGTATATATAAAATTGAATATGCAAAAAGAAGTTTCCAACATGAAAGTTGGTACTCACTCAACATCAACATCATAACCATTTATTAGTAATATCACTCATATAACCCTCTCAAATATCCCTGAAAATTCCTATTATTTTCAATCTAATCTCTTCATTCTCAAACTCTTTGTGGAAGCATCTTTTGTTGCTTCAGAACACAGAATCCAAAAGTGACATTTGGCTCAAAATTTCAGGGCCAAGAGTCCTTTTATTTATTTATCTAATACACATTCATTAACTGCTTATAGAGAATTGTTAAACCACTGGGGTTACAAGAATGAGGGAAAAAATAGAAGATCTGTGCCCTCATAGAGCTGATATTCTGTGAATCTGCATATGTATCCAGGGAGTAGAGCCAGCCTCCATGGTGCTCACAGTTGTTCTTGCCTCCTGGTATTGACACCCGTGAGGAATAAGGTTGACCTGTGCAACTCAGAAACGATGGGTTATGACTTCTAAGAGAAGCCACAAATGATATTGTGCTCTCTTAAATCACTCACTGTGGAGGAAATGAGCTGGCCTACACTGAGGACACTTAGAGCAACCTTGAGTCTCTTTCATAGAAAGTTTCACATGCCAAGAGTAGGTGCCTTCTGTGAACAATCAGCTTTATCCTATGAGGCATGACAATGAGCCATCTTCAGAACAGATTCATGAGCATAAAATCTTCAGATGACTCTCTAGCTAGAACCTAGGTTTGTAAGATGAAATATAGGATGTCTAACTGAACTTGATTTTAAATTAAACACCAAATAACTTTTCAGGAACATCATACCTCAAATATACATTATACTACAAATATTCAAATTTACCTAAGAATCTTGTCTTTATCTACACTACAACTATCTTACAATGTAATAAGAGTTCTAAGTCAGAACCAGTAAGTTCGCAAGTTCCTGAATCACTGTGTTATATTAAATCTTTGATATTTTTAAGTCACTATGTTTTGAGGAAATTTTCCATGCATCAGTAGGTAAGTATTACACAGAGTCTGTGACACCAAAATTTTATGCAAGTTTCTGTGTATAATTTCATAGGTGTGTTTTGTGAATAATAAATAGTTTACATTAAATTCTTAATAAACTCAGAAACTATTCCCAAGTATAACATACATGAAACAGTGTAGTGGCTGATCAGCTGTGACAACTTGAGAAGTTTACAAACTTAACTAAACTGGCTCGGCAATTCCACATCCTAGGGTATAAAAGAGCCACCCTAGGGTGGTTCATCACTTAATGGATATAAAAGGGAAATGGGGAAGGATGGAAGGTTCCAGTTCTTCAGAGGAGTTCCAGTCTTCATCTTCAGCTCCCACGTCATTCCTGGATTCTAGCACAGACTCTTCAGCTTCTGCCTTGGATCCTTCAGCCTTCCGGTGACCCATCAGCTTTCCGTTGCAGATCCATCAGCTTCCTAATACAGACTTGCACAGAACACTGCTGTGGGCTCCAGACCTTCGACCAAACCTTTCACTCTCCAGTGTGCAGGTAGGTGGCCTCAGCATGCTTCCTCGTCTGACTGTCATAAGCCAAACTTGTAATTTTTTATATATTTGTACATCTTGTGTACAAATCTTATATCTGTTCCTCTAGTAAAATCCTGGCTGATACAAACAGCAAGAAAAAGAAGGTAGAAAAGGGGAATTAAGTGATTTTTTGGTCAGGTTAAATGACTTTTCAAAATAGCACCATCCTATAAAACCTTTGTCGATGATGCAAATATTTTTTTCTGCATTGATCAGTATCACTAGTCAGATGGTGCAACAGAGCAATTGAAATGTAAATACTATATGTCTGAGGAATCACATTTTTATAAAAGCTTAATTAATTTCTGTTAAATAGTCCAGTATAGACAGTAGTTACAGCATTGCACAGGGAAATTTCAGAATGTCATTAAACATTAATAAAATTTGATTTGAGCCATCTGAGACTGATAGTTCATCATGAATAAGAGAAACTTAGTAATTCTGAATAAGAGAATTATGAATCCTTTGAAACAAAATTTTGGTCCCTCTCCATATTTTTATACTGCCAATGCTCACCCTTCTTTTCATTCAGTAAGGAATCTTTCTCAGAGATTGACTAATATAATTTAGATAGACTGGCCAAATGAAACACACTTTGCTACTGATTAACTACTTAAACACTAATATTAAAAAGATTTATCGCCCAGTCCTAGCCTAGGTCCAGTGAGTGTGTGGAGAGCTTCCTCCTACCCTGCGCCAGCAGGACCAGTCCCAGCCCAGGTGCAGCGTGGGCCGGACCCTGTCCCGCCCCCTCGGGCCGCCCCCACCACTCCGCCGTACCTCCCCACTCCTCCCGCCGAGTAGGAATTTCTGCCGAGTAGGAATTTCTGCCAACTTCCGGGAACCCCCA